TTTGTCTTTCCGTTATTCCTACTTGTATTTCTATTTTCAGTTCCTGTTTTTCAGTATTCTATTTTTTATATTTTAAATACAGTTAATTACAAGTATTTGGCTAATTCTATCATTTAACTAATTACATCATTTGTCTATTCTAACTATATTTATTTAACAAATATTTATTGTGCCTAATAGCATGATTTACTATGCCTTAATCAATATATTATCCTATGTAATTACTATTTTGCTATCTAATAAATTACTTTCTTAACAATTATAATTTAATAAATCAAATAGCAATTTATTAGTTCTGTAATACTACCCCTTATATATTTAATAAACATAGTAGAATTTTCTAAAAAGTAAAGTACTACAATGATTATTTTTTTATATTACTTCTATTGTAAAATTAATTGAATATTATATAGTATTGAGTAGCTTTTTTTTATTAAATTTGACTATTTAAAATTTTATAAACGTTAAAATAACTTTTTCTTCATTTTATTAACTTTTATGATCAAGTCTAATCAAATTATTTTTATAAGTATATTATAATAATTCAATATTATATAAAATTATATATAATAATATATATTATAATAATAATTTATACTTTTTTGTATTTTTAATTATAAACATTTATTAACTTTCTTTTTATAGTTAATCTTATTAATATATCTTTATTTACTTCTTTTATTCTATCTTCCTCTTTTTGTATTTCTTTAAATCTCTTTATAACTTTTTATCCTTTTTAATAAGTATATTAAACCTTTTTAATTGTTGTAAAAAATATTTAATATTTATTTTAATTTCTTCTTTATAATAATCTTTATAATATCTATACTTATATTTCAATTGTATAAAGTATCCCTAATGGTAACCATTTTCATACATTAGTATATCACTACTTTATATAATACTATTTATAATAAAAGCCTATTATATAAATCACAATTATTAGAAGAAGAAGAATGTGTTATATTAAATTCAGATAGCAAACATTTTAAATCAATAATAGTATTAAGAGTAATCAGTTTATAAAAGAAATATTATTTCTTCTTAATAAGATAACTTTAATTTTGTATTATAAATATTTTTTGTAAATAAAGAAGAAGAAATACTGCTATCTTTTTAATAGAATAATATAAAATTAAAGGTATGTATAAATATCTTTTTATTTTAAAAAAATTATTTTTAAGAATCTGAATTTTTTAGTATCTAAAAAAAGATTAATTAATTATTTTTTTAATTAATCAATTTATTTTATTATCTTTAATATGGGTTTGAATAATAATACTTTCTATATTATCATATATATTTATAATTATTCAGATTTTACTATGTAGATTTTCAACAAAATAATCATTAAAATTTATAAGGTATAGTTTTAATGCTTCTACTATTAGATATTTATTGTCTTTACAATTAAAATAATCTGATAAGAAAATTAATAATATTATTTATACTAAATACAAAATGAAAAAGTTTTAAAAAAAACTATAATGTAACATAACAACTTTTTTTCAAAAATTTAAAGATATATAAAGTAGTTTAAAAATTGAAATAAAGTTATATATATGTAGAGAAATTGAAGATTGTTTATCTTATAAATAAAAATGTGTAATTATCATATGTATAAAAAACTGTTCAAATCATCAGCAATAACTGGTATAATATTTAATAAAAGGTAATCTTTTAATAAAGAAATATTAGAAATTATTTGTATAACTTTAAAATAATCTACAAATGAAGATAAATTCATATTTTGTAATATAATTATTTTAATTCCTTCTATAAAGTACTCTTTTTTCTTTCTTAAATTGCATAATTATATATATAGATAATAAGTTGATCAATATAATCAAATTGATTTTTATTTATTAACTTTTGATTAATCTATTGATTTAATTCTAATATTATAGCTTATATCAAAAATTCTATTATAATATATTTCTAAATACTAATAAAGTCTATTAAAATCAACATTTTTTGAATAATATATATATATATATTTTAATGAATAATTAGGATTAGTACATAATTATCTACTTATTTAGAAAGACAAATTGCAAAATATTTATTATTAGTTATAATTAAAATTATTAGTCGACGTATAAAATGTATTGCATAATAATCATCAATATTAAATATATAAAAATAATTATTCTATATATTATTATATAAAATAAAACTATTTGATTAGTATTTAATTTAATTATGTAAAAAAAACTTTTTTTTATAATTTTTATATAATTTTATTAATAATTTAAAATCATTTTTTATCAAATTAAATTTTTTTATTAATTTTAATATATTTAGAATATTAAATATTCTTACATAAATAATAAAATACTCATTAATTTTTTTGAGATGATTAATAACTATTTCTTTTCTATATTGATTTACTATTTTAACTTATACACTAAAACTCATTACTGATAATATTTTAATACCTTCCCTTAAAGTTTCATATGCAACTAAATAAAGTCTAATTTCAAGTTTAAATTATTAAAAAACTTATTGTTTAATTTAGCTAAAAGATAAAAGAATCTAACAATAGCTTTTTTTTCTATTTTTACATATTTTTATGATCTTATTTTAGGATTTTATACATTTACAAATATTTTAAAAAATCCTTTTAAACATAGTTCTTGTTTTTACAATTAAATTACAAAAATTATTTAGATCTAATTCTATTAGAAGATCTTATTTTCTTTATATATTATAAAGAACTTTTATCAAAAGATTTAATTGTTCTCCAAAAAAGAATCTAATAAAATATTAATTTATTATACTTAAGTTAATATTTGTATTTATGTTATAAATTGATAAATCTTTTAAGGGTGTAATTTTATTGCCTCTGTCTAGTTTGATAATATTATTATAATGTATTTGATTACCAATTTTAAATAATTAAATGTAATAAATATTTCTTTTCTTTGAGCTTTTTTAAAAGCAAATTAAGTAAATTTACAAAATTTTATATTATTTTTATTATACTATATACTGCATAAAGTTTATAATTTAATTGTATTATTTTAAGATAAAGATTTTAGTGATAATAATGATAATTTCAAATATAATTTATAATTTTAGTAATAATCAATAAAAAATTAACTAATCACAAAAAAATTTACTAAAATCAAGTGATAATTAATAGTCAATTATAAGAAACTTCATTATGCTTATTTAATACATATTGTTTGTATATTTTTTTACTTTTCTATTTTAAATTTAAGATTTTATAATAAAAAAAATGTATATAATATATTGTATATAATAAAACATATTTTTCTAAGTAATTTTTTTCTTTATGTTTTGTTTATTATTCTTAAAGATTTTATATATCAGTATTTTTTATTAGATTAAAATACTACATATTATATTCTTTAAAAAATATGCATTATAAATCTTAAAATATTATATATTATAACCTTATTATTATGCTTCATAAAATATCAATTATTATATATTATAAAATATAAAAATGTTTCATATATATAAATATTTTAACAGTTTATAACTTTATATAAGATTATGAGATATAAGATTTATATAATATTTTACATTATTAAATTTACTGATATACTTAAGGTTACTAAATGAATTTAGAAGTTTTGTAAGTCATCTAAATGAAAAAAGGTAAAACTTAACGAAATTATATTAAAACTTTATTAAAAAATCTGCAAAATTCTGAAAAAGATAAACTATATTAAAATGTGAAACTATATTAAAACTTTTATAAAAAATTAACAAAACTATAGTTTAGATATTTTGTCAAATTCAAAATGAGTTTAGACAAGTAACCTTAAATATACTATTTACCATTTGATTTTTAGAAATATTAAATAAGTTATATTAATATTTGTAAAAAAGTTATGTTTTAAATTGAATAATTAGATTTAATATCATTATTTACATTATATTTCAATATGAATTAATGAATTGAATTTTGATAAATATAATATTTTATTAATAATTTATAATATATATTAATTTAATATAATTAATTGTAATATCATTCAAAATTAATTAATGTTAAAGTATAATTTACACTATTTATATCTAATTCTTTTTACAAATTTTAGAAATTTTTTATATTATAAGATAAATTTAGTGATGATTGTAATAATTATGATGATATTCTTTTTTTCTATATTTTTATATATTTTTTTCTAATAATAGAAATGATAAAATGATAATAAAAATATAGTAATTAGAGATTATAGAATGTACTTTTTATAATATTTAATGATCTTTTAAAATCTAATTTGCTAATAATTAAGAGATATAAGATATATTTAAGTTTGAAAACATTTAAGTATAAAAATATTATCAACCTTGAGCTAAAACTCTTAGTTAATGATATAATTCAAAATTTTTTATAGTAATATTAAAAAAAAAGAAAAAACTATTTATTAATTATAATTTAGAATTAATTAAGATAAATCAATAAACTAAATTTTATTTTTTTTTATTAGATAATAAATTATTTTAAAATTAAAATTTAAAAAATTAATATACAGTATACTAATAATTATTAAAATAAATTTTATTTTTTTTATAATTAATAGATATCAAATATTATAAAATTTTTAAAATATTTTATAATAATTTTAGATTTACCATTTAAGATTAAAAGATATTAATTATTTAAATTTAGATTTATCAAAAAAAAAAATTATAAATTTTAAATTTAATTTCAATATTATATATAATTCAATAAATTTCATCAGGAAATTTCAGGATCCGATGTATAGTTAATAAACATTGAATGTTAATATACATTATAAAAATTAACTATGCATCGGACCTTTGGATGAAATATTGATGTACAATTACACAATGTTCATTGATGCACAGTATTGTATAACACAAGCTGTACATACACTTAAATCAGAATTTATTAAAATGTTAATTTTTTATTATTTCTATTGCAAATAATCAAAACTAAGCTATAACTACTACATATTATACACTTTTATAGCAAATATCGAAAGTAATATATAATTGAATTATTCTGTATCAGATTGGATCTCTTCCTATATATTAAAATATGATATTTAGAATAAATTCAGAATCAATGAGCTAATCAAATAAAAAATTTTAAATTACCTCTTGATCCTTTTGCATAATCATTTCCCTTTCCTTAATTCGTCTTGTTATCAATTCTCCACTAAGGATAGTAGTTTGAATACTTGAATCGAACATGAGATCAACTACCGCGACAACAAAAGCACAACTATGAGTTGTTCTTTCATCTTTTTTCAAAACCTCTTTGGTAATACAGTTCATATAGGTATCAGATTCATCACCGTTTTCTTCAACTTTATTCCACAAATTCTCACTAGCCCATTTTGTACTTTGGGATGTTTTCCATGCTATAACATCGTCAGTAGCAGCTTTGTATCTGGAAAAGTACTGATACGAGCTTTTCCAAACACAATGATGATTGCATTTTTTATGTTTTGAACACATCCTGAACGCCTTACACGAATTTCATTGCGCATCTGTACAAAAATAAAGCATACAATTGTTATAAAATTATTAGTATAATATATATGTGAAATAATTCATGTACAATCATTATAATAAATAATTACCGTCGATTGTAATACTTCTATCCAATAGTTTATCCAACCTCCTTTTGAATTTTCCAACTTATCGACTTCATCAGGATGCGTATCTATCAAAGCAAAATAAATAAAATCACGCATTTCTTCATTGGTTAGGATCTTATTTTTTTAAAAAGTTCGATGATTGCTTTATTCAAGGTGTTCTAAATTAAAACCAAAATAAATTAGTATCATAAATCCAAATTAAATCAAATCGATTAAAATTAAATTAAATTAGTATCATAAATCCGAAACAAAACAAAACAAATTAAAATTTATATAACACTTACGCTATACCAGAATGTTTTTTTTTGTGAGGTCTTGCCAGATTCAGTAATCTTATTGGAGTCTTCATCTTGTGATGAACGGTCTCTTATGTATTCATTTAAAGCAGTCTCTGTACGGATGGCTGCTTCTTTCACTTTAAGAGATGCCACATATGTCTTTTGAGAATATTTCAATGCTTTCATTAATAGGTTGAGATCTTTCTCATCAAGCCGAATCACTATAACGATCAAATTTATTAATGATATTAAATATCTATAAAGCGTAGACTACATTACATATTACTTACTTTTTGATTTAGTATCTTTATTATTAAAATCACCTTTTCGTTTTGGTGTAACTTGATCTTCAATCATCACGATAGAATCATCATTCTAAATATTTATTATTGACATTAATGTTAAACTATATAATTAACTAAATCACTATTAATTATAAAAATACTATCTTTGAGATAGAAATTGTACTAGCAAATACTTTACTAATACTACTTTTTTTCTTAGCAATAACCTTCGAAGTATTAACAATCGGTTCACTTTTATCGCTACTCTCTTTGTTACTTTCTTCATTAAGCAACGGTGAAATATCTATATCTACAGAAATTACTTGTTTCTCATGATTTTGTTGACCAGAATACTGTTATGTATCATTGTCATATCAATTTACATAATTAAAACAATAGTGAATAAAAAATATTACATAAACACAAAATACGATATTAACCTTTTGCGACTTTTTATTATTTTCTCGAGTTTGACGATTTTTAACAGGTATGAACGTAGCAAGAGGATCATTAACCAATTCATTTCTAGACGGCGTAGTTTTTTTGGAATTGCGTCGAGTAGAAGTTGCCATTGTTAAACAGAATTTTGTTTGTAAGAATATAAGATTTGCAAGAGTATGAAGAGAAAGGGTTTTTAAGAAGTTTGTGATAACGCTAATTTATCACTGACATTTTATACTAGATCTATTGTGATAAATCATATAATTAATAAGTTTAATGATGAGTTTAATAATACGTTTAATTATGTATAATTTATTAGTTCATGTAGTGAGCTAAATAAATAATTAAATAAAGTTGTTAACAAAAGTTAAACAAAAAGAAACGTAATACAATTCTTTCTTCTTTACTTACATATTCCTCTTTGGAAATAGTGCAAAATCATAATGCAATAAAGAAAACTTTTGTTAAATAAAAATAAATATAAATTTTCACATTAACAAGACGCTTGAACTAAAGAACGAATTACTTTTGATGACCAACCTCAT